GTCCCAATGTAATCAGTGAGCCCTTTGCATAGTTCTTTTCGCTGTTGTTAAAAAGGGAGGAAAGAAGGAAAGAGGCAAGAGAGAAAGAGGGGAAGAGGACTAATGTGAGGACGGGATCAGAAAGATGCGACTTGAGGGGGCTCGACCTGCTGCTGTTGCCGGGGGGAGGGGGTCCACGCTGAGGAGCTGGAGATGTGGGCGGTCTAGCAAAAGCTGCACAGAGGGTTCTCTGTTGTCCATCCGTATAGCAAAAGGGCAGCATGGAAACATCTCTGGTCATGCAGAATTGGCATGTAATTCCTTGTGTTAGACTGAAAGCAACAAAAGAAAGAGAACACCAATGAACTTCTAAACCGGGGGTCAATTTATGGATGATTCATCCTATGGTTCAGTAAAGAGCCAGAAAGATGTAATGAAGGAAAATATGAAACTGTGAGAACAACTTGGCTCACTTTCTTAATCCAGGAAAACAAGATCACTCTGACCTGAATTAACTTGGGCCCTAACATTTCACTATAATTTGAGCTATTCACTGAAATTAACTGGTAAATGGCACAGTTATTAACTATTTTTAGAAAGTCACAGTGTGATCATGACTCAGGGACAAAGTGAAGCAGAAAACGGATGTCATAGGCAGACAACCCAGGGGTCTGAGAGCCAATACATACTGAAACAGGACAGAGAAAAACTCCAAGGGGAACTTTCTTTTAAGGTTGCAAGTGTGGCCTTTCTCTTTTCAAGATAACCTCACACTGGAAAAAAATCTGAGCACGCGGGGGGTGTGGCTGTTTCCTATTGCTCTTTCTGGTATATTTGTACTGCAGGGACTGAACATGAATGACATTTAACATAGGTCATTGAAGGATACCAGGAAAATCCCCTTTTTATTATTATGTAACTCCCTGGGCATATTTAAACCACTGTTTGTGTGTTTGATTTCCCCCTTTGGGTGCAAATGGTCACTTGCTTTGCTCCCTACTGGATAAAGATAGGGGGTAAAGTCTAAATTTTCAATGAGCTGTGGCATTAAGAGAAAAAAAATTACCTCTGCATTAATAAGCAGCTGAGAGCTTCTGTGTGGTCAGATAATTTTAAGTTAGAAGGAAGTTTAAGCAAGACTTCTTTATTTTACTGGCCATTCCAATTTAGATCAATGCATATGTACTCTGGCCAGGCACTGTGGAGCTTTTGGATAGAGATGAAGTAAGATCCAGTCCTTGATCTGAGGGAATCTAAATATAGTGGGGTGGGCAGAGGTGCTACCTGTTACAATGAGGTAAAGGCTATGTTAGGTGTGTCAGTGTTTTTAGCTCCAAGCAATAGTAAATGATTTTGGCTAATATAAATCAAAAAACAATACATCCAGCTGCAGTTCCACAATTGCTGGGAAGGCTGGAGAATTAGGCACAAAGCTTGTGAAGCCAGAGCAGCTGCCCAAATACAGTAAAGCTACTGGATAAATTAGTTGTTTCTGCTAAGCTCTAGAAACCACCCGTTTGTGTGACCATCACCCTAAGTCTGGGACTGGACTCTCCACGGCCGCGACTGCCACATCCAGAGCAGGACGTTGTTTGCACAGCTGCCTCTGTCCACCTGGGTACAGGGCTCTCTCTGTCTCGGCTTCTTTGTGTCGCCAGTTCCTAATTCCAGGTCCCTGAGAGTGGTGTCTGATTAGCCATTCTAAGTGCTTGGCTTCTCCCTTGTCTCCCAGGCTGGCCTGACAGTGAGTCTCTGGCACTGCAGCTTCCATGCTGCCTGCCGCCATTAGAGTGCAGCTGGGTGAAGCAGATTTTAAACTCACAACTTAGTCCATCACAGTCTCTTTTAGCTTACACGATCTTTTGGGTGAGTCCTTTTTAATTCTCAGTCTTTCACTTTCTCCCCCCACCCCCCTTGCCTGGTTTCTCTCCAACTTGGTATCTGAGTGTGTGGTGGGATAACAGTCATATGGCAGTATGGTCCCGGCTGGTCCCCTGCTGTGGAGGAGTCTGGTTTGATTCTGGTGCCGGACCAGTGTGCCTTTCTGGAACGCCGTGCGCAAGTGCCATCCACTGTGGATGATTCCCGTCATTTTTTTTGGAGTCGTGAAGGCACAGTGTAGCTTCTTTGCCCTGACCCTTAGCGTTGGCCGGTCCACTGGCCCTCTTGGCACCTTCACATTCCCACACCGATGGGTGTGGGAGTCTCCCGGCTGGGCAAAGAGTGCCACGGTGAAGTGCGAGCGGCCAAACACAGATCAGAGCAGAGGCCCTGCTCCCCACAGATCTCACTCTTCAGAACCTGCAGCGTGCTTCTGCTGAACCCCCTGAGAGCTCCCTTCACCCTCGAGCTTTCTTCTCCTCACATACTGGGGTGGGAGGGACCAGCTCTCTGTGCCCCTTTCACGTCTGTCAGGAATTAACCGATGTCCCTGTTTTAGTTATTGTTGAGGTACAATGAATCTCGTGGTTGCAAATGATCATGATTTCAGCGGAGAAATGAACCAAGTGTCAACCTGGCCAGACAACTGTATAAATCAGTGCAAGAAACGTGTAAGGGGCAAGGAAAGGGTCAAAAAAGACTTCCTTAAGGAAGCAACCCTGCACCGTGTGCTGAGGATGAACCCATGCCCCAGTTTAGATAGTTTAGATTCTACTCACACAGGCCGGTTAGGGGCTAGGAGTCCTCACGATGTAACAGAGAAGAGTTGGGGGCACTGTCCGAACAGTAGCCATTTATACCAGCCTGTCTTCAAGTCCGAGGGTCCACAGGAACCTTGTTTTGTGTCAGCAATATCTAGAAGGTTGCTTCTTCCAGTGGCTGGTGGCTTGAAGACACAGCTGAGTGAGTGAGGCCCAGGAGAAGCCCGGAGAAGCCGAGGTTTGAGGAACCAACTTCGGAGAGAATTCCCTTTGCTGGCAGGGTGCAGGGGTGGGGAGTGCCGGAGGGGTTGGTGGGGGAAGATCAGTGATTAAACTATTTAAAGGAGTGCAAAGGGCAGAGTTTTGACATCAGAGCCAGGAGGCTAGATAAAAGGGGAAGGAACCCAGAAATGCTGGAGCTGGTGATCAAAAAATCATAGACAAGGGCAAGGCCAGTTCCCCAAGATGCAGCTGAGGTACGGAGGGCCACTCACTGGGAGGCAGAGCTGGTGAAACAATTCGTACTGATCCCTGAGAGCTTTCATTTCAGATGCTGTCAGGTTCTACTAGTAGATTTAATACTTTACTTTTCTGCAAATAAAGGTTGGGGGGGCCTTATCACACTACACCACAGGGGGATTGTGGTAACAGTATCCCAAGAGTTTTAAAGTGCAAATGTTTTCTGAGACAGGTAAAGGTTGCATTAGGTATTAAAATCCAGCTTAGAGTTAATATCTTCATTGTTGCATCCATTGTTTACCAGACACCTCTACGTGTAAATTACTGAGTTAGTGAGTTGGGAATAAAATAAGGTCTTGCCTTCAAATAGGAAGGCAGTGTTGCCATGTGAACACACGTATACACACAACAGTGTCCAAGGCATGAAATCTGTTATAAGAGGACTGGGTAAAATATTACAGAATTTATTAGAAGGGAGAGAATAATTCAGATTAGGGCCAGACTGAGGAAGGCTTCTTAGAGAAGAGTGTTTTTTCATTAAGCATTGAAAGACATGAAAAATCTGAACACTTAAAGATGGGTCAAAAAAAAACAAAAACCCTTCAGGGAGAAGAAACAGCATGGAGAACAAACATCTGTAGGGTTTGTAGAAATGGAGAACCATTTGTTTTTGAAAGGAATGTCAATGATGTAAGAGACCATTATCAGGTTCTAGTAAGGAGACTGACGGTCCTGTGACAAAGGAGAATGGGGTGGTGCTGTTTGGACGGGCGGTTGACCCAAGGGGGCCATCCCGTGACTGGAGCTCTGGGTGGATCACGTAGGTTGGGCAACAGGAAGCCTCAGCCTACCATTGGGAGGTGGCAAGTAAGGAAGGAGGAGAGAACGTACACAAGAGGGAAAGAAATTTCTCCTTTCTCATTATCCTGGTGCCTCCTTACTGGAGCCGAATCCTCCCATTACATTTTTTGGCACGTCCCAAGCCGAGGCCTTGTCTGCCTGCATCTTCTGGGCTGCGTCTAACAGCAAATGAAAGGCTAGAGACAGATCGGGTAGGACGAAATGGAAGAAACACTTTTCTTAGTTTTTGTTTCTTTGTTTTAAACACTCTGTGTTCTTGATGTTGCAAAGAAGTGAAACCATGATTGCACCTTTCATTTCATGCATGTTTTAAAGTTTATTTTTTCCCGTTTTCCCCTCCAAATTTATTTTTCTTAAATTTTGAGCCATCAGAAACAATCTTGGATTATAAAGAAGGAAAATACAAAATGAAGACATGTCAAGGAAAATGGAAGGAAACGCCGACAGGCGTTCTGTATTGCTCACATTTTTAAAAAATCCAGGGCCTTTTGGAAGATTGAAGGGTAAAAGTTCTGCATTATGTCCCCAGCTCCTCTGAATGATGGTAACAGTGCCAGGGATGTGGGAGGTGTTTAGTCCTCGCCTGGGAAGGCCTCATTCACCTGCCCCAGGCTGGCAGGCATCCTCTGCTCTGAATCACTGCAGCAGAATCTGGTAGGGCCGGTTCCACGACTGCACGAGGATTTGCAGGTATGAAGATTTTTAGTTCCTGTCAACACTGAGGGTGCCTTTTTACCTCTATGCAAACATCAAATCACTTCTATTTCCTCTTATAGAAGGAGGTCCCTATTTGTCAATTGTTCTTAGACATACCCACCTGCTATACATATGTAATTACTAATTGCTTTGCTTTTCCATGTACTTACTCTTTCTTGCTAGGGTGAAACTGTAGCCATCCACCCTCTTCTCTTGGTTTCAGGAAAGGAGTATGAATTGTGGGTGTTGTAGTTCTTATGCCTGTGAGGGTTTCTGGTTGGGCAGCCTGGAGCTGCACTGGGAGGACTTCTAGTCCCAGGTGGCTTGGTAAGCTGCAGCTTGGGTGCCACAGACAGAGCAGGACACGTTTGGAGAGAGTCCTTGGTTTTCCTAGAGTGACTTCCATTCACTGACATAATGTTCCTGAACTGAAGAGGCTTGAGTTCATTTCCACAATTGTAAGTGTTGTTTTTAAAAATTAATATTTTCTTCACTACTGATATATGGTACACATAGGACATTGTGTCATTTCCAAAATAATTAAAGAAACTAAATGCTTCTTCCTTTTTCCCCAAGCCCTGCTTGGAAAGGAAAAAAGGGAAGGTTATTGATATTCGGTGTTGGTGGGACATGGTTTAAAATAAACTTGGACACATGGGATAGATTAATACTTGAGACATGTTATAAAATAAACTGATTTATAAAAAGAGGAGGAAGACACAGAACATTCAAAATCAAATGTAAAAGAAAAAACACTTTGATTTGCTTCAAATATGTGGATGATTGAAATCCTCTGAAAATTTTAAATATTTTGAAAGACAGCCAAGGGTGTTGAAAAGCCTCTGGGCACTGAAGTCAGAGGAGTTCAGATTCAGGGGCCCCGCCACTTTAAGTAGGTGACCTTCGAAAAGATGTTCTACCTGGTCCAACCTCAGATTTCTCATTTGTAAAATTGGCATTAAACCTACTTCACTGGGTTACTAGAGTGGAATTAGCACAGTGCATTGCATCAAATAGACGGTTGGGAAATAACTGATGGAGGACAAACTTAGCTTCTTCCTAAGTAAGTTTCAGTTGAATTTCAGAAAGAGATGAAAGAGACAAAAATATTGTATGATTCCACTACGTGAGATAGCTAAAGTAGTCAAATTCATAGGAACGCAAAGTAGAAATGAAATGGTGGTTGCCTGTGAGTGGGGGAAGGGAGAAAATAAGAGATGTTTAATGACTACAGAGTTTCAGTTTTGCAATTTGAAAACATTCTGGAGATTGGTTGCACAACATTGTAAGTACACTTAACACCATTAAATTGTACAGTTGTAAATAGTTAAGATGATAAGTTTTATATTATGTATTTTTCACTACAATTTTTTAAAAGAAGATGAAGAAAACATAGTGGAAATTCTGGCGCCTCCTATTTATTAAGGTATCTCTGACTCCTTAAAAATTGCCCAAGTCCATTTTCAGTAGACCTAATTTCAGATTGAAATTGGATTATCTATGTTCATGTGTAGTTTTAACATAACAATAATTAGTTATGATTATGATGTATTTCTGACCAGTCATTCAAGGTCAAGACTAAGAATAAAGTCTTAGTCTTTGTGGTAATCCTTTTATACTTTCCTTAACTTAATTATGTGATTACTAATTTATAATAGTTATTTTTAATATGATTTCATGGGTACTGTAAAGGTATAGCAATTTTGAAGTCCTGATTATTAGTTCAAACTTGAAAAGTTTAGATATGACCAAATATATTATTTATTCTGGTTTTCTCACATTCTCTGTAGCTTATTTATTTTTAAAGATTTTATGTATTTATTTTTAGAGAGAGGGGAAGGGAATGAAAAAGAGAGGGAGAGAAGCATCAGTGCGTGGTTGCCTCTCGTGCACCCCCCTACTGGGGACCTGGCCTGCAACCCAGGCATGTGCCCTGACTGGGAATTGAACTGGTGACCCTTTGGTTTGCAGGCCCATGCTCAATCCACAGAGCTACCTCAGCCAGGGCCCTTTATCTTATTTATAAACAGATCATTTTTGTGTCTGTGATTTCAAAATAATAAAGAGTGTTAAGACAGGACCTATTAAACACCATCTTACCTTAAAATGTATTAGGTAATCTGGAAGACAAAAGACAATTTAGGGTTTTATTTATTTTAAACATGAAAGAATGTCATCATTGACTTTCTGGAAAATCTTTTCTTAAAAAAACACTCATATGCCTGGCTGTCTATTAAAACTAAGTATCCTTTATGGCATTTGGTTACAGAAACCAGGATTCATGATGAGTGTTCAAAGTTTTGCATGCGATCTATTTAAATGAACATATTTAAAGGAAAACTCTCTGAAGAGCTATGTCAACAAGTCCAGGGAAGCATGAGAACGAACACACAGGAGAAGGAAAGCTGCAGAAGCACTCGATCAATATGATTCTGTGCCTGAGAGGGCAGCCCTGGGCTTGCTCTTGAATGCCCTACATGGTGTACTCTCTCTAGGAAGTGTCATTTATTCATTTAACAGTTAATGTTCTTCCACTGGATTTGGGGTTAAAGAGTGACTGAGTCACACGTAGTCCTTAAGGGTATCCTGGTCCACTAGAAAAGATATGTACTCATAAAAAACCTAAAGGGAGGAAGTACTAATCTGTGCATCACTCATGCCTTTCCTGGCGTTACTGTTGGTTAATTCCCACTCCGTAGAAGACATGCTCAATGTCATGGGATTGAAACAAGCCTCCATAAATCTTTGCTTGAACTGTAACCATTAGAGACCAGAAAAAGCTGAATTTGAAAACTTGCGTATGAGTCACTCAAAAGCAGAGTGAAGTAAGTGCCCCAAACACGGAAGAAATGTGTACCCAGCATTTCAGAGGAAGGGGAGGTCATGGTGTGTAAATATCCAGAAGACGCTCTGGGAAATGATGGAGATGTAGCCAGGCCTGGAAGCATGTGCAGAGTTGAAATCAAGAGAAAACAATAGAGAAAATATCTCCTCTGGAGCCATGCTTCCCAAAGTTTTTACAGATGAGATGATTCTAGGCAATATCAATAAAATCAATAACTGATTTGCACAGTGAGAAAGTTATTATATTTTTCATTCTACTTTTGTTTTTCCAAGGACATAGATGTATTGTTTATATGACTTTTAAAAATTTTCTAACACTTGTTTAATCCTCCTTTGTAACAATAGAGTTGTAACAAGCTCAATGATTTTAGCAGGCAAAACTTATTTAGTTGTAACTTAATAACTTTTAGAAAGACATTTGTTTTTATAGCCGTTGCCTATTTACTGTAATAGATACTGGTTTTTCCCATTTATGTTACTGATAGACATTTTCTATTAAAAGACTTCTCTGAGCTAAAATGCGAGCGGATTTACAGAAACTAGTAAGTACAAATTAGTCTGGTGCTTGGTCATGGAAATATCATGAAGAGCTACCAGAAGGCCTGAAGTTTGGGAACCACTGAGGTAGAGGCAATGTCAAGTCCAGAAATGAGGAAGTGAAACTGAACAGGCTGTCTTTATGTATGGCTGGAAAGGAGGGGCGTTGGTGTTCTGTGGAGGATGTCCTGGGGACTTTGGATGATGATGCTGGGATAAGGTTAAGGCAGTGGAAGTTTAAAGGGATTCTGACTTCACCTTTTCCATGGTGGGGTTTCAAATGGGTTTCCATCCTGGGACAACATGTGGGAAGTTGTGCTTTAGGAAGATCATCCACGGATTGGCCTATAGGTGGGTTGGAGCTCAAGGAGTGTGAATGTGGAGAGGGCACTTTGGAAACAGGTTTTAATAATCTGATCATGAATAAGTAACAGGAGCTGGGAATGAAAATGCAAGAGAGAGATGAGGAAGATATTCAATAAAAAAGAAAATATGATGATGATGATGATGATGGTGATGATGCTAATGATGATAAAAAATGACAGGCAAGATGCTCTTGAGTTTTTAAGCTTGGTGGCCTGAGAGAGTGACAGTGACACTGAAGCTAAAGAGAGACAGCTAGTTCTTGTGGGGACAGATGTTCCTTTTACTTCAGGCAACTTGAAGTGGCCTGATGGGCAGACCTTCCAGTGGAAGGGGAAACCGCGCTGTTAATCATGTGGGGTTGGAGTTAGCGAGAGAAATGCAGGCAATAAGCACCTCATTAAGGGGCAGCTTAGTTCTGCTCTTCCTTCTGCCCATTCTAGGAGGAATGCCGACGACAGAGAGTCTTCAGGATCTAGGGATAGGAAGGGCAAGGACGAGCAGCTTGACTATTTCCTCCCAAGATTTTCCTTTTCCTTTGGGGAGTTCTCTCTTCGTTACTGTAGCTTCCACCTTACTCGGTGACGACACATCTTTACAGAGTCCTTCCTCAGATTAAGCAAAAACATTTTCATTTCTACCCAGGAGAATAGCCACCAGATAGAATTTCTAGGAATGATAGAGGGGATTTGTGTTTTCTATTTCCATTGGGAAAAGCACTGAATCTGAATGTTTTCCCAAACAATACAATTCACAGTAGATAGATATTTAAAGATAGACAAATACCACAAAGGCTAGTGTGCTCACCTTCCAGCTTAACAAGCACAATATGCAAATTAAAAAAAAATTTAAATTGTTTATGGTATTAACCTTTTTGTCCACATTTTTTCTAGAAATTTATTTAAATGAAGGCCCCCCCATCCTATTCCCCAATTTCATTTCAGTGAAGTGAAGGTTACTGCTTATCCTCTCTTTGTAGATTTTCTCTCCATTGTGTGTTTTTATTCTTTTATCTGTTTTTAGTTTTGTTTAGTCTTTCCACTGCAATCACCACACTGTTGTCCCTGCCTGTGAGTCTTTCACAGCCACTAAGATGTGGAAGCAGCCCAAGTGTCCACCTGTAGACAAGTGGATAAAACAACTATGGGACATGTATACAATGGAATACTACTCAGCTGTAAAAAAAAGAAGAAAAATTTTTGAGAACATTGTGCTAAGTGAAATAAGCCTGTCGGAGAAAGACAAAAACCTGTGTGAACTTAATTCTAAACCTTCAGACTAAGGTGCTAAAAGGAGCCTCTTTACTCTTTGCTAACAAAAAAAAAATAGCAAGTCTCCAGCAGAGTAAGCAGTCTCTACTCACAGGCATTCTCTTTGTGGAGGATTTTGATAAACTGAAAGTTCAGTAAAAGAAAAAAGTACTGCTTGTTCTTGACTATCAAGAATCAGGCATCATTTTCCAGATGTAAAGTGTTGGAATATAGTTTTATGTTATGTCTGTAATCCAGCCTATTTTTCTGTATTCTCCTGGGAAAAGAAAGCATGTTTGTTACAGCTCACCTACTTACTGAAAAATATAGACAATTATACTGTCTCTGGTGTTTTATTCAAGTTCCCAGAGGTTGATGTCACAAATGAGCTAGTCAATGACTTGGAAAGTGCATTTCACTTGGACTAGGATTTAGAGAAAACCGTTTCAGGATATTAGAGCTGA